ACAATTTGGGACAGACAAAAAAGAAAAACAAGACTATCAAAGTGGGACGGAGGGAGTATATATATATATATACACACCACGTGGGGAATTAACCCTTGTCCATGCAGAGAGAACAAAGGAGCCAACTTAGACTGGTTTTGCTGCCACCCTTCAAAAAGTGACGAGATATATATATATATATATATGTATGTATGTATCTTTCCATTCGTGCACGACACAGATTAATCAACGGTCAAGGATTCGTCAGTTTTATTCAAGTGTCCCTCGTGTCGTGGCCATTACTGGCTTTAATCCCTCGATCACTCGAATTCAAGGAATGAGAAAAGCCAGTAATTAATCAATCAATAAGCAAGTTTGATATATATATATATATATATATACCATTAATAGTGTTGTGATGTTGAAATTGCAGGTGCAGCTGCATGTTTAGCGGATACAAATCCATATATAAATTGTTGTAAGATATAATTAATCAAGCACTTAAACTCTTAGTACCATCAAATTAAGTCATTAATCATTATCCATTCAGAGTTTGACATTTTTTTTCAGGATGATATTCAAGAGTCGAGACATTGACAAAGTACGTACAAATTTATATAGTTTTCTATCTACATATCAACTCTTCACGAATTCAGACATTGACAAAAGTACTTTCAGATTTTGCGTGCAAGAGTAAGCGAGTTCTAGGAATTTTATTTTATTTTTTGTTGCGAAAATTCTAGTTAGTATAATAATTAAACCTCCTGGAACTGGAAGTAATTAAGCGTGGTTGGTCCAAAATCAAAATGATAAGAATTGATTGTAGATTCCTTGTTATATAGTAATTAAAAATGTTGTTTGACCGCCTCCAAACTCTCTATAAAGTCATGTACGCCTCTAAATTGAAAATCAGAGGTACTCGTCTTGAATGAAGGCTTTTCTAGTTCTTTTTCCTTTTCAATTTCAGCAGTCATAGAAAACCCAAACAAACGAACCAAATAGCCGGTAGCTAGTTTGACTACAAAACATCAAAATCGATTTGTTTCTTGGATTCTCCAGCTTTGTCGTATTTTAAACTATTGCCCTGCTTGGCACTTAAATGTTTTGCCAAGTCTGTCTGCTACAAATTTTGTTAAAACTATAGCTACAGTAGCCTCAAAAAACTTTTTAAAAAATTTTAAACTATACACTTAAAAATATTCAAAAAAGTTATACACTTCAAAAAATTTTTTTTTTTAAACTCTACAGTAAACTACAGTAAAATTTTAAACAAACGTCCAAAAAACTCACTTGTCAAACGAGACCTATATCCAGTTAAGACAATTCTCGCCTACTTTTATTTCTTTTTTTTTTTTAATTCTGGACTCGTACTTTAATTTCTGTTCTAGTATGACCTATGATTATAGAATTGTTCATCCCACAACAATTTAGCACGCCCTATCTGTGTTAGATTTCACACAATAAGAAAGGTCTTTCCCCCTCATCAATTGAACAAAGCAAGGGCCAATTCCCTCAACACAAAAGACAACGCTAGCTTTATACTTGCACCAGCAGCCCAAATTTTTCTCATCTAATTACTTTAGTAATGCTCGAGCATTTTCGCCTTATCGTCTCTTCGGAATGCCCCCCCCCCCCCCCCCCAACAACCAAAAAAAAAAAATCATCTTCGGTATGAGTTTGAACACTTTGGCAATCGTGGAGAGGTATTCGGCTAGCAGCATGATTTCAACAGTCAACCAATCTATTGCTTCGCCATGCATGCAATGCAAAGTACATATGCATGGCCTGAACTACATAACGTAATTTTGCATGTAAATTAAAGCCATTAAAAGTGGCAAAAAGAGCTCGAGTTTCTGGGTTCTAATTTACCTTCTCCTCCCTCACTTCTTTTCTTAGAACCGATCCATTTTCTATTGAAAAAAAAAATAAAAAAAAAGAGAAGAGATAAGTTCAAATGTTTGGAAAATCGCGCTGCATATATTGGTTAGCTTCCTCGAGGTGGGAATTTACCATTAGTCGATACAGATATATAGAAGGAGCCAACTTAGACTAGCTTGCCGCAAACCACCTTTCAAAAAGTGACAAGAACTTCAGTCTAGTACACGACACAGTTTTTTTTTTTTTCTTAAATTTTTTTAATATATACGTGAACAGATTTGAATACGAAACCTTTCACTTACACTCCATCTTTCGAACTATCCAATCCAATTGAGGATTCGTCAGTTTTATTAGTTATACTACTATTATGGCGTTCAATTTACTCAACTGATTAGAAGAGAAAAAAAGAGTGTCATCCAACAATTAACGTACTTATTATTGATGATACCATATCATCGGACTACGCCCCTACATCATGCACTTGCATAATTGTTGCAATTAATCTGCAACTAAATAAGTACTTAACCTCTTAGTAATACATAAAAAAAAAAAAAAACTACTCGAGAAAGTGTTTAATGATATCTTTGTTAAGATAAATAATGAACTCATAAAGGCGCTCAATTGTTTTAGAGAAGATATTGATTCGTGGTTTAATGGAGGTGGACAAGAATGAGTTGCATAGGATAGGTATTCAGAAATTCGTGGTAGATTATTTGGGATAAATATTTTAAAAAAAAAAAAAATACTGTAGCACTGTTTTTTATGTGACGTATGTAACATAGAAAAGTGATGAAAATTTTGATAAATAATTCGCTATCCAAACAAATCCGATATTTATTAGGCTCAAAAAAAAAAAGAAAAAAAGAAAGTAAGTATCCCTTCACAAAAATCAAATGTGAAGCATTCCACTGCTGTGTCACTTGAATTAAGTGCACGTACCACTTTCCGTGTCAACATGCTCGTCCCTTCCTGCTCAATCTTCCCGATTGCTCGCATCATCGCAAATTGGCAATACCTAGTGGTCGACATGAAACTATGCAAGATTCCGGGTTCCCTAAATGTTGCGTGTTTTTTTGATGAAGATATTAATTAAAATAATTTTTTTCTGAGAAATTAATTAAGGTAATTATAATGATACTTTTTATGATGCAATATATATATAAATTAAAAAGATAAATAATTGAAACGTGTTTGCAAAGAAGACTCGTGATGAACAACTTTCATCATGGGACGAGGCCTGAGGGAGCAACCTACTCGTGGGATAAAGATTGTGATAATGAAAAGCTTAGGGCGCTTAATTACGACTAGCGTGAGATCAGCCAGAAAAAAAGCAGATTAGGGAACCCACACGTGAGTACGAATGCGCAAGATTCCACTTGCCCAGTTGCGTTCACACTGGACATCAGCAAGCAAGATTCGCTAGCCAATCTCTTTTCACACGGAGCCGGCTCATTGGGTTTGGCCTAATACTCAGCTGCTGCTTCAGTGGCGGAGCTTCGACGGAATCACCTCTACTTTTTTAGAACAATTTTCTGAATTGTTGTAAAATAAAGTTGTTCTTATTCGATGAACGTATTAACAAATTTTCTTATTTACATGTATTAGTCACTACCTCTTTAGCCCTTATCACTTTCTATATATCTCTTTTCAAGGAAAAAATGGCGAAGATGTTTTTAGCCACTATTTTGAATCGACACATAGAATTATACATGTAAATAATGTTGAAACTATGACAAAAATTATATATATGTATATATATATATATATCGTTCCTTTTTTGGTACAAGTAGAAGACATTTTTCTTCTTCATTTATAACTAAAATTATTTCTTTAAAAAAAAAAAACTAAAGTTGTTTCTGAAGTTAAATGATACATCACCAATCAATTTCAATTGAACTCAAGAAGGACGAGTTTAAGACGAATTAGAAGTATTTGATTTGAATTTGAATTTTTTTTTATTATGAGGATGCAGAAAATACTTAAGTCCTGTAATATGATGATTAAATTTGCAATGAAAATTGAGAGAAAGCACCGCTAGATGCAAGCACATTAAACTATATATATTGTGCATAAAATTGTAAGAGCATAGTAATAAGTACTAGTATAAATCAAGTGCATGTTGGTTGGAGCAATGTGATGATGCATCAATTATAAGTTAGACATTTATTTGCTATATCTACAGAAAAGCTAGAATTTCTTCTTCTTTTTTTTAAAAAAAAAAAAAAATAGGAGTTGAATGCAAACGTGGCTAATTTTAAATTGAGAATTATACTTTTTTGACACGGATGCAATGGCTTAAAAGAGCACAAGAAAGAAGAGCCAAAAAAGATCACAAGGAGGGGAAAATCCTAAACCTGGCCAAAATATTCAATTTGGACTCGTTCTTTCCATCCCCATTTAATTTAAAGATAGAAGAAGAAGATAGCCTGCCTCCAAGGTTGAGCAAACAAAATTCAACCAGGCCTTTCCCTTGGACCGTTCCGTTCAATTACGTACACCGCCAGGTTGCATGCAATTAAGAGAGGTTTGAACAAGTCCAGTAGAAGCCTCTACTCGTCCGAGTAATCAGATAATCATATCCGTTTTCCGTCAAACAAGTTTTAACTGGTTACACTATGGAATAGTAAGTAGCTAGCTGACTGAAGTGTGCTGAGCCGCCGCCGCCGCCACCACCAGCGGTCCAATAAAATTGCCTCGACTCAATCAAGAGGCCAACCAAGAACAGGTGCAGTGTGGGACACGGACCCAAACATTCCAAACGCTCCAGCACCTGCCAGGTAGGATACCCTCGTGGCAACCATCTTCTTTATCACTTTTCTGCTACTACTAGTCTACTACCACTCGGTACATTCATTTTGTTTTGTTTACTACAATGAAACGTGCAAGATTTTTGGCGTGCGTGCGTCATAGACAATAGCATCAAAAATTTTTTCTTTTTCATAATATGCACATTCAATGGTCATTCATATTTCTGGATATGTAATTGTTTGTTTCTTTTGTGTAATTCTTTTGGCTGTTCAAATTGGTCATTGAAAGAATTCCCCCGCGGGCTCCACCTGCCTCCCTGAGTCCCTATATATATATATATCAAGATCTTACTCGATCGCTTTAGTAATCAATTCCAAGCATTCATTTGTTAGAAGATGGGAAACTGTATTGTCAAAGAACCCTCCACAGAATGGGGAGGGGATGATTGGGGCTCTCTCTCGACGTTGCCATCAGAGGCCCAAAAAACCGTGTTCTCTGGTGGGGCTGGCCAAGACAACAACAGGCTGTATATGAAGAAGAAGCCAACAAAGATGGAGGGACAGAGTTCTCTTAGAGGGAAGCAGGAGGCTAAATCTTTTCCTTCGTCTACCACAGCAGGGACAGAGGTGAAGATCAAGATCACGAAGAAGCAGTTGGAGGAACTTCTGAGTAAGGTGGATGTGCAGGGGAAACCGGTGAAAGAGGTTTTAACACAGTTGCTCAACAACCTTAGTGATCATGGAAATGAGACGCATCATCCAAGCTCCTGGAGGCCTGCCCTGCAAAGCATACCAGAAGCTGAGGTGTATTGAACAAAAGGGTAGGTGTTAAGTTAACTTGGTCCTGTAAAGTCTGTTATTTGTATTCGTATAGTATTTGTTAGGTCCTGTAAAGTTTTTGTTTTTGATGAGGTTCTGAATTCAGACATAGATCATGCAACTCTCAGCCTCCATTTATCTCCGTCACTTCCTTGATCCCAATGGAAATGGGGTTGAAACGGTTCTTGGAAATTTTTGTCTGTGTACATAGGAAACAGGATGAACATGTTTTTTTTTTTTTCTGAGCCGTACTTGACGGTGTCAGTTACATGAATCAAATACTAAGCTGCTGCTACTCTTTTTTTTTCTTGTTTTGGGGGTGGGGAGGGGGGGGGGTGTGGTTTGTTACTTGTTAGACTACAGCTATTTTATCAACAGAGCCAGCTAATGCAAAGTGACCTCGTGTTAATTATTTGTTTAGGTGTTCCTACACTCCTGCAAACATTTTGATATAATCTTAGATCTTGGATGGAATTTACATGCCTTGAATTACATTAAAAACTTGATGTATGGTAATTTTCTGAGGCAGGCATGGTTGATAATTGGTCTGTGTTTCTGGAAAAGAGGACTTGGATACCAGGAACATTAACCTGCTAAATAATATTACTTACTACTGTGTAGCATTAATGAGTTACTCCACTTTTAGCCAAATCAGAAGACCTAATTCATTAACACTACAACTCATAAGACTAATTCATGTAATAGGGGCAAAATCAAAGATAATCGAGTTAAATCCTATAATATTGGGACCTTTTTATTGACTTTAACATTGCTTAGAATACATAATTTTGACTCAATTACTATTTGAGCTAATCTCAAACACATGATAATTAAGTTGAAGGTCGAATCAAGGTTTTTTTTTTTTTTTTTTTTGTATTTAAAAAAAAAAGTCAAATCAGGCCCTAATGAGTAATGGCTTGATCTATTTACTATAGTTCTCCTTCCGTCCCACTTTGATAGTCCAGTTTCTTTTTTCACACAATGTAAGAAAAAGTAGTTAACTTTGTTGGAAAAGTAAATTTAGATTGCTATTTTCCTAAAATACCCTCACATTAAATATGGTACAACTTAATGGGAACTTGAATTGATGGTAAAAAAAAAAATCAACCCTCATTAAATGGGATAGATTTATAGTAACAACTACTCACATTGAATAAGGATATTTTAGGAAAATTAAAATACAACTACATTCTTCAATTGAAAGTGGACTACAATTTGGGACTGATGAAAAAGGAATACAGGACTATCAAAGTGGGACGGAGAGAGTAGTATTTTTGGACTTGAAGAAGCTAACTCATATAGGCAAAATTCTCCGCCACGAGACGACAGCGTATAGTACAATAAGAAATCAGATTACTTTACAAACGCCCTGCTTTTACGAGTCCAATTTTGATATGATTAGAAGGAAGTCGCTAAAAATTGAAATCCACAACAAAAAAATTCATTTTTGAATCTCATTTTGGCGCAAAAACAAATAAAAATCCTAAATAGTCGCATTCCTCACCTCAATCCTCCGCACAATGGCGGATTTTGAACCTCCATCGTTCTTGCTAGGGTTCGATTTGGACCTGAACCGCTAGAAGACCGGAACCATCAACCAGCTATGATAACAAGGGTTAATTTTTAGAAACCCCTCTTAAGGTTTCTGACAGTTTCATTGCTCTCCCTTGAGATTTTAAAAATATCATTAACCTTCTCTAAAATAATATGTTTTTGTAGCAAATTAGCTCAATTCAAAAAAATCAACAATAAAAAAATGATTTTATGCTTTTATTTTATTTTAACTTCAAAGAGATAGTAGGTTCCCAAATTCTAAATCAAACCAAACAAGACCATTATGGTTTATTAAAAGAAAAGAGAGACCATTATGAACTTGGCACTTTTTGTCCCCATAAATGACAAATTGAAAGGAAAAATACAATTTATTTTGGGAGAAAATATAGAATAATAGATTTTTAAGACTTGTAAAAAATGAAAATTCGAAATATGATAAATTCAAAAAAAAAATCAACAAAACAAGCATATCAGATATGATATGCTAATTCTCTTAATTAAACAAATTGTATATGTTTGGTTTACTAGGTTTGCTTTTTCTTTTATTTGATAAATGAATTTAGCACACTCTCGTGATTTTTTGTATCACTACATTAATTTAAATTAATGATTTTAATGTGAAAACATGTCAAAAACTAAAATGAGTCAAACTTCCAATACAAGAACACTTTCAATTAAAATAATAATTTCTTTGTTGGATTTTGCATTTGTTTTGTCTTTAATATATTTTCTCAAAGCATTGAAGATTTCAAACATGAATTAAAAGTTTCATAATTCTAAATATGAGTTAAATATGAGCTTTATGCATATTGATGGCTCCATTTTTGTGGTTATTCGTTAAAAGCATCACTTTTGGCACCATGGTGAAATCATTATTTCGGAAGCATAAAAATAAGTATTAGCAAAAGAATTGTGATATTTATTTTTAGGAAAAAGGTTACGTATGTCATTTAGCATTTGAATCCATTAAAAATAGCTTTCCAAAATATAAAATAATTAATTCATTAACTAATTAGGTTGTTTCTTATACCTTATAAGGGCATCTGTTAGAAAATCCCTAAACAAAATCCAACACCTAAGTTAGTTCAATCATACTTGGTAGCTCCATGTAGCAAGGGAAGCAATGAGAAACCGTTTAAACGGATTATTAATTGTTTCTGCTTCTTCAAAAATGACAATAATTAACATAACAATTAACATCCACTAATATTACCGTGCATAATAATTAAGACTTAAATCGTTAACTTTTTGGGGGAAAAACAAATTGATCATCAAACAAACCCATAACATAATGACTAGCATCCACCAATATGCCCAAGCACTAATATAGGGAAATAACTCTCTATACACTCTTTTCCAACCTCTTTACAGGTGATTTTATCAGAATATAGCCAAAAAAAAAAAAAGCATGATGCTGCACTAAAGTTCCACCAACATGCCCTAGTGTACAGTGGGTAATTCCGTTTCCTGGAAAATGCAAACCCGTCCAGGTGGCACGTAAATAAATTTTAATAGAATGTATAGCCAAGCAGTTTTTTTTCATTAAATTCGCCATTTACTAAGCACTTCCATTTTTTACATAATTTTTTTTTAAAAATTGCAAGTATAAATATAAGATTGGCATAAAATGACACAAGTAGGGAACGCGACGTCGAGTATTTTCACATTCAACTTTAATAAATGTTAACTTTAATAAAGGTGATTTGACATAAAGTTTATCTAGGAAAGCTAAGAAATATGGAAGGATAAGGGTGCTTAAATATAAATATAATTGTTCAAGTAGCCGTCGTCATTATAAATTTAGATTGTTTTATATATTATTTACTTAAACGATTAGAATTTTTCCTAACAAGTGCTCGCACCTAAATTTCATCCAACCTATCATATATATTCACAAGCTAACTATTATTACCAGCTCTCGCAGTTATATACTTTCTCTAATTAATCTTATATTTTAAAAAATTTAGCACCTACATTAGATAGACCAAAATAATTATTATAATATCAAGGATAATTAATACCTGATTCGCATGCAAAGATCAAAATTCTTTAAGTGGTAAAAAAAAAAGATTAAAATAGCTATTGTATTTTAGTGACTTTGGTTTTCTCTTCCATATTTATTAACTTAAAGAATGGTTAAGCTATTAAGGGTAGTTTTGTCAATTTGCATGCACTAAGGGTAATTAGTGTTCCAATCCAAATGACAAGGGAATTAAGTGATATTTATGAATCTTCAAAGGTTCTGAGTGATATTAGGCAAAACTTCAAGGGAGGTTTCTGAAATCATCCCTAAAATCTGCCTATCAATAATTTCCATTCACAACTAAATGTTTATCTTTTCCTTTTATTGGTCCTTCGCTGCTTTTTAGTCGTTGGTTCTATTTTATGAGTTTTATCCATCCTTAACTGCTTATTAGTCTTTTTTTTTTTTTTTTTTTGACGACTGGGGTATCCTGGTCAATTGACCAGACTAATTCCCCAAGGCTGGAAGAGCCCGCCCAAGGATTCTATTTAATCCTGGTCAATTAACTGATTATTAGTCGTTAGTTCTATTTAATGAGTTTGATGTACACTTTCATGATGTACGAATCTTTTTTGTGATTAATACGTAGTTCTATTGCAAAAATGATTGAATTCAAGATAAGGCCCATAAATCTGAAGTTTTCTTCCCAAGTAAAATATTGAGCGGCGGCCAACAGAAATTCCTAAATTATTGCCAGGAGGACCCCCGGGAGGGGGGGGGGGGGAGAACGGGTTGGGATCTTTTTTCGGGGATCCCAATTCTATTCCACTCGTGGTTCTAAGTGAGTTTCCTTCTGTACTCTTGTCGGTTCCTAGAATCCTTCTGTATATATTTATGTATGCATATATCCTTCTGTACTCGTGGTTCTAAGGTTCTTTAGTCGTGAAGAGAATTCACATCCTTCGTGAGGATTCTAGTTGCTTTGATTGTTTATATTGCGGGTTTAATTACTTCAGAGGGCAGGCCAAGGTGTCAACAGTCAATTCTGATGAAGGAGATGAATCATGATGTGCAGCCACTACTGCCTGAAGAGGTAATGACTGAGATTCTGATGAGATTGCCCGTGAAATCACTGGTGAGATTCCGTCGCATCTCCAAAACATGGTGCACATTGATCAGCAGCCCTTGGTTTGCCGATATGCAATTCAGCCATGTTAATGCCAACGGCGATAACAGCGAGTAAAATGCTGTTATCTTTCCATTCTTATAATCACCATGAGGTTGAAGATTATGGAGACAATATTGCATCTCCGGCCAGCCGCATTAAAGTCGCAGCCCCTGATTGGGAGCTACCTGCTTCATCGGATCATGACATAGTTGGAACATGCTACCCGCATTAAAGTCGCAGCCCCTTGCTGCATTGGATCCCAGAGAATCAGGTTGATTGGTCCGCGAGATAGCAGACGATGCAGCTGCG